GAACTTGCGAACAGCCCCCATTGCAGACATATGACAGCTCGAAGCCACCAAGGCCGAAGACGACAGCAACGACTAATCCGACGAATGGAACAACTGCCGGCGTAACCGATGTTATCTGCGCTGACCTCGTCGTTCACATTGACGGCCACCAAGTGACGGCTCTTGTGGACACCGGCTCCCACTTTTCTATAATAAGCCTACAGCTAGCCGACAGACTAAGGAAGGTAAAGATGCCATGGCACGGACCCAATATAAGAACGGCAGGAGGTCAGTTGATGACATCAGTGGGAAAGTGCACAGCCCAACTCTTCATCACCGGTTCCACCTTTGTCACCACCCTCGTCATTCTTCACAAGTGCTGTAAACAGCTCATTTTAGGAATGGATTTCTTGCACGAATACGGGGCTGTGATTGACATCCGTGACAGAATCGTGACGTTTGCTATAAGCTCAGACGCTGCTACAGATGAGGAACACCAGCCACCTCGCTTCCGTATTGCTGATGGCGACGTCATACTGCCGCCACGAAGTTGTTCCCTCGTATCCGTGCACTGTGACATCTTATAAAACGGTACTGGCATCTCTGAACACATCAAGGAGCTCGCATTCACTAGCGGCATTTCTGATGCCAGGGCTGTCATCACTGTTATTGACGGATTCGCTGAACTTTTATTGACAAATTTCAGCAGAGAACGCCGACACATAGTTAAAGGCACGGCTATTGCCTATTTCGACGAACTTTCTCAAACAAAAGATTGTCATTTAGGGGAGGAAGTAGCAGCGTCTACTATCACTACACTGATACCTGCCGACATTGGTCCAACGTTATCTCCCATTGAGCGAGACCGCCTTCTCATGCTGATTGACAAGTTCCACTGCTGCTTCTCATCCACATCAAGAGTTGGTCAAATGGCACTGACGAAACACTGCATCATCATGGATTCTGACACCAGACCCATCCGGCAAAATTCTTATCGAGTCGCCCCAAAGGAGCGTGAGGCAATTCAAAAACAGGTGAAAACGATGCTAGAAGATGGTGTTATTCGGCCATCTAGCAGTCCTTGGGCATCACCTGTAGTACTCGTCAAAAAGAAGGACGGCAGCTTGCGTTTCTGCGTCAACTACTGGAAGCTCAATCAGATCACAAAGAAGGACGTCTACCCTCTGCCGCGTATTGATGATTCATTGGATAGACTACAAAACGCATGCTACTTTTCTTCCATGGACTCGAAAAGCGGCTACTGGCAATTGAAGTGGATGAGAGAGATTGTGAGAAGGACCGCTTTTGTTACTCCTGATGGACTTTATGAATTTCAGGTACTTCCTTTCAGTTTGTGTTCGGCACCAGCAACATTTCAGGGTCTCATGGACACGGTTTTGTCGGGACTTAAGTGGCAAACCTGCTTGGTGTACCTCGAGGATGTAATTGTCTTTTTGGCGACTTTCGAGGAACACTTACGAAGGCTCGAAGCAGTTTTTGAACCAATACGCTTGGCTGGTCTTACTCTAAAACCTGAAAAGTGCCACTTCGGCTTCCACAAACTTCAATTCCTGGGTCATGTCGATAGCAGCCAAGGGATCCGACCTGACCCGGATAAAATTGCCGCCGTGGCGAACTTCCCGACGCCATCAGACAAAAAAATCAGTGCGACGTTTTTTTGGGACTCTTTGCCTATTACCAGCGGTTTATTGCTAATTTTTCGCACATCGCATGGCCATTGACACAGCTTACTCGGGAAGGTATCCCCTTCAGATGGGGCGAAGACTAACAGCAGGCATTTCACGAGCTTCATCAGCGCATGCAAACACCCCCCGTACTGGCCCACTTCGATGAAGACGCGCCAACAATACTTCATACAGACGCTAGTAATGTGGGTCTTGGAGCAGTGCTCGTACAGTGTAAGGACAACAACGAAAAGGTGATCGCCTACACTAGGAAAAGGTGATCACCTACGCGAGGAGGACGCTGTCCCTAGCAAAAGCTGACTACACTACTATGTAGAAAGAGTGTCTTGCAATGGTATGGGCAGTCGTGAAGTTTCGTCCTTATTTGTACGGCCGCCCATTCACCGTTATAAGCGATCACCACTCTCTCTGTTGGTTAGTCAACTTGAAAGATTCGTCTGGCCATCTTGCACGATGGAGTCTTCGGCGCCAAGAATTTGACTTCACTGTTGCCTACAAGTTGGGAAAACGACGCACCGATGCCGACTGTCTTTCTCGGTCTCCTGTTGAGACGACATCCCCAAACAACAATGACGACAACACGGCCTTTCTGGAAATTGTGAACACTGCCGCCTTTTCTCAACAGCAGCATGACGATGCTGAACTGCTACCACTCATAAATTACCTACAAGGGCAAACGAATAGCGTGCCGATGTTATTTGCGAGAGGGCTGCCGTCGTACTGCTTGCGAAATGACATTCTTTATAAGAAGAACTTTTCACTCGCCGGCAGCAGCTACTTGCTGGTCGTTCCTTCTTCGCTTCGCCGTGAGGTACTGCAAACCTGCCATGACGAACCTACCACTGGTCACTTGGTTTACGCAAGAACATTGGCGAGGATAAGGCAGAACTATTACTGGCCAGGACTTGCCGAAAGTGTCAAAACTTAGGTGTAGGCATGTCTAAATTGCCAGCGTCGCAAGCCACCATTCATCAAACCAGCTGCAGCCTGTCCGAGTGTCGGCGACAGGGTTTGCACAAATTGGCATGGATTTTCTGGGCCCCTTCCCAAAATCTGCCACTGGAAACAGGTGGATAATCGTCGCCATGGATTACCTGACCTGATACGCGGAGACGGATGCTCTACCACGAGCAACAGCAGCTGAAGTGGCACAATTTTTCATTGAAGCCATCGTTCTAAGACACCGTGCTCCCGCAATAGTCATCACCGACAGAGGTACTGCGTTCATGGCCGAGATTTTGGACGCCATTTTCCGGCTAAGTGGTACAGCTCACAGAAAGACAATGGCATATCATCCCCAGACCAACGGGCTCACCGAACGCCTCAACAAGACAGGAGACCACTCGGAAGACACCCTTCTGTCTCCTTTACGGACGCGAGGTTACGACAACGTTGGACGCAATGCTCTCCTATGAAAATGATGGTAATGCGACGGACGCCGAAGAGTTTACCCAGCTCGCAGAAGAAGCCAGAGAACTTGCCAGGTTGCGAATCACCATACAAGACGACGATGCCAAACATTACAACCTCCGGCACAGACCCGTCATATGCAACGTGGCCGGCAAAAGTATGGGTCTGGACACCTATTCGTCAGCGTGGGCTCTCCAAAAAGCTGTTGGGAAGATACTTTGTGCCCTACAAGGTTCTGCGACGCATCAGTGACGTCAACTACGAGGTTGTTATGAATGGCGTGCAGTGTTCGAAGCACCGCAGACATTCACCAGAAATTGTCCACGTGCTTCGGATGAAACCTTACTTTCAGTGACTAACTGTGCAGTTTTGATTTCGCCTTGCTTCTTGAATGTTTAACATCGGGGCGATGTTTTTTTTTTTAAGGGGGAATAATGCCACGCGTATGTGCCAGTGGTGGCGATAACGTAGCAGCGCGAGTGTCCTTGGCCGAGGGCAAAAGAAGAAGAAGTCGTTGCAGTCTTTTTTCTGTGATCGATAAAGCGTATTTGTTTGAGGCGCTTTGTGTGCTCGTCGATCCCACGTCGTAACAATATGATACGGGGGATATCTTATCAATTTGCTTTTAATAAAGGACATGATGGTGATGGCAACAGCACAAAACCTGTCGAGACTGTCTAATAAATAATTGCTATTGTAACACAGTACTATTTCCACGCTCTAATATCTGCAATTACACGGAGGGAGGAGTATGGCAATTTCACAGGGGTTCATTTCAATGCATTAATTGGTCAAGTTATTGTGCAAATTTACTAAAAAACCTGATGACTAGAATTTATAATCATCACTCTGAAAAAATCCAGCAAAAGAGAAAATTATGTGGCCTTATGATTGACACCTCTTTTCTATTTGAGGAAAAGAAAAAAATCAAAAGTTAACATGAAAAATTGATCTGTAGTGCTACTTCTGCCTTTAAAATATATGTAAGAGGAATTTCCTTGAGGTTACTAAGACTTGGATAAGATGTGAGTGGCTTAGCTTTGCGCTAAATGCGATGGGTTATGTGGAAGAAAACTTTTTCTTCAGATGAAAAAGTGAGATGTATGTGTCACACATTTGCTCAAACGGTTGAATATGCTGCAAAGCATGGTTTCAAGTTTATTTTACTGCATATGCAATGCTATACAAAGGAAATGCAGCCAAGCATTTTCCTTAGCTTAGTACACGCACTCAACTTCTTTGGAGCTCTTCATTGTCATTTCACTTGAAAGATAGAGCTTCAGTATGTTGCTTGCAGAGTAATAAAAATTATGTGCTTGAATTTGCTCCCTGTGGGGGCCATGTCTCCCCCCTGCTCCCAGTGCACAACAGCTGGTAATGCATGAAAGCAGTTCTGGTGTGTGCATGGCTTTATCATTTTCCCCAGTCATAATATAAATGAGTAGTGGTTTTTTAAGAATGTATAATTATTTTTTTCTGGCAATAAGGCTTCGTTGAGTATATGACTGCATTGTTTATATATGTAAAGTTTCTTTATGTCTTATTTAGCATGTTGTGTGTGCTTGACATTTAGTGGAAAACTGTCATGGCCTGATGGTCGCAAGTACACGGCCGGTTCAAGAATAACTTGCAACATGGTGAATTTGCTCCATATGGGGGCCATGTCTCCCCCCTGCTCCCAGTGCACAACAGCTGGTAATGCATGAAAGCAGTTCTGGTGTGTGCATGGCTTTATCATTTTCCCCAGTCATAATATAAATGAGTAGTGGTTTTTCAAGAATGTATAATTATTTTTTTCTGGCAATAAGGCTTCGTTGAGTATATGACTGCATTAGATTGGGCTTGTTTATATATGTAAAGTTTCTTTATGTCTTATCTAGCATGTTGTGTGTGCTTGACTTTTAGTGGAAAACTGTCATGGCCTGATGGTCGCAAGTACACGGGCCGGTTCAAGAATAACTTGCAACATGGTGAAGGTGAATACATTGTTCCTGGAAATGGAGGAGACACAGTGTTTCGGGGCACTTGGAAGAACGGAAAGCTTCATGGGCTTGGTAGTGCCAGGTTTGTCTGTTTCTTGTTTTTTTCGGTGCGCATTGAGTGTTGGTTAGCTTTACTGCTCTCTTAGAAAGACTTTTGCTTCAATGCTCCTTTTCCATCACTTTTGTATAAACCATCACTTGTATATTAGTGATTACCACTGTACGAATTATGGGATTAGCTAAAAAATTGAGCATAAAGCTATTTTGATATTGTCACGGGGTCGTGACGCGGGTGAAGGGAGCAGGCTGGGTGTTCAGGTTAAACGGCTAATTGGGCCGAACTTGTGGTCATGTAAAAGGAAAAGGTCAGATTACAGCAACACACTGGCACTGATGTTTTGGGACATTAAATACTACATATCTATCTATCACTGGTACTTATAGCAGGGAACAGAGCGTTGACAAGCTCAACTGACAAGCTGCGAAACGCAGCCGCATTTATACATGTGTCCTCGAATATTCCAGCCTTATCGTCTTCATCTAAGCTCTAGAATAATCTCGAGTGTCGTGTCTTGTGGGTGTGTCTTGTGGGTGTGTCTTGTGGGTGTGTCTTGTGGGTGTGTCTTGTGGGTGTGTCTTGTGGGTGTGTCTTGTGGGTGTGTCTTGTGGGTGTGTCTTGTGGGTGTGTCTTGTGGGTGTGTCTTGTGGGTGTGTCTTGTGGGTGTGTCTTGTGGGTGTGTCTTGTGGGTGTGTCTTGTGGGTGTGTCTTGTGGGTGTGTCTTGTGAGTAATCTTAACAAAACGATCTACAATGATGATGAACCTTCTTGAACCAGGAGGCACAGTTTGCATTGAGCATCGCTGACCCATGCTTTCTGGGTGAAAACCAAGTCAAACAAAAGTGAAAATAAAAAAAACATGCATGGAAATATGCTGGGATTGTTCTTCGCAGGTAGTTTTGATTAGAAAACAGTTTGTCTTAATTCTTTAAATAAGTTAATGTATTTGAGTTAACGTGATTTTAAAGGAATACTGAACAAAATTTTTGGTGCCTAGAGTTTCAGCATAATTGAAAGAGTTTCGAGGCTGAAATCGGTTGACACAACTTTGTTTTCAGTCAGAAACTAGCGGAAAAGAATAACTTTAAGGCATTTGTCACAAACTGTCGTGTCAAGTAGTTATGTCACGAACTACAAGAGGTGACATTTCATTCACGAGAAACGAGCGTGCCAACTATGCTAGTCATTGTCCGGATCAATCCACCGGCTCTGCTCTCATTTGGTCCATAGAACCAGCGTGAATGGCACCAGCAGCGAACATTGTTCCTAGATGGGGGCACGTCTCAGTGACTTTGTTGAAAGGGGACAGTAGAGTGTAAAGGAAAGGGAGCGAAAGGGTGGTCGTAGGACAGGAAAACATGCTCTTTGCTTTCGTCGCTGGCTTGCTTGATGTCACAGCCATTAATGTGCAGTTCTGTGCACTCACAGTGCTTCACTCTTTAGAATATGCGAAATAAACTCTGTTTATTGGAGTATTCCTTCACCCCTTTCAGGGGTCACGCGGTGCATAATACGGCAGCACCTAACAAGAACCAAAGTGTTGTCGCTGTACATGTACGCCACTTCCTCTATGTGTAAAATGCGCGCCTTTTCCGACCATTTCTTTTGCTTGGCATGTGCTGCCACACTTTGGCAACGGAAAACTTTTCACGTGCCGATTTTTCTCCATTTATTTTTTATTTTTTCTTCTTCGCATGCACACCCTAGCACGTTCACAGTTCGGCTGGTTTGAAACACGCCTTTCTCTATCCTTTTTCTTGCTTGGCATATGCTGCCATGCTTTGGGAAACTAAAATTCTTTTCATGCGCTGTTGTCTTTCCATTGTTGCTTTTTTTTTATGCTCCGCAGGGTGACGCGCCGGCAGTCACTTGCACATTCGAGCACACCCGCAGTGCAGCTCATTTAAAATGCGTGCCTGTTCGATAACTTTTTTTTGCTTAGAATGTGCTGCCACGCTTCAGGAAGGCGTGCAATTTTTTCATGCGGCAATATCTCTCGAACTTTTTCTTATGTTTTTTCTAAAGTGGCGTGGCAGCTTTCCCTAGCGCATCCGAATGTGCACACGCGGTGCGGCTGGTTTCGGTTTCGTCATTTGGGTGGTTATTGCTTCTCGGTTCTGCAAAGCTCACCGCTGTCTGTTTTACCATGTCTGAAAGGGGTGACCGCTTGTGATTCTCTCGTTTATTCCTCCCTAGGTCGCGATCACATGTTTCTGTGTGGCACTAAATTATGCAAACTGTGCTGCAGTGGTTGTGTTTTTTGTTTCGGGGACTCGGAAAAACTAACTCCACCTTGTTGCGATAAGACATATTGCCACGTTCCATTCCTCAAGTTTTGTTATCATCCCAAAACACTACATTCTCAGCGCAAACTGCGCCTGCAGTTTTCGAGAAGCTTCCAGACTGTAGTAGATCATTTCAGTAAGATCGCGCCCACTCTGCGAACTGTACAGATTATTCTGGAACCTACGCCACCGCCAGCGATAACGCTAAAACATACGACGGCAAGAGTATAAATGCCGACGCGCTTCGCCACTTGTCAGTAGTTGATCGACGGCCGACGCTCCGTTCACTGCTATCTGTGCAAGACTGCTATTGTAATCGAACTTTCCGTTTACCGGGCACAGGTTCGCCCAAATAAGCAGTTAAATCTCAACATAAAGTCTCCTGTCTTCAGCCACGTCACGACCCCGTGACATCTGGTGGAGGTGCTGCTTCGTTCATGTACCGGACGCTCCCGTAAAGCCGTGAACCCAGCCCACGTCGTGGAGAAGACACCGACGCCAACCAGGAGCAGCGAACAAGCCGCCGACAGCAAGGGCTACCACCGTAGTACGGGCTTCTACAAGACAAGGTGCGGAAGACCAAGGCCATGACCACGACTGCAGCGACAATGACAACCGCAGCGTCCAGCCCACGATGGTCATGCATCAACCCAGGGAACCATCAATTTTTCATGGGTCATCGTTCGAAGACCCAGAGTCCTGGCTAGAAACAGGAACGTGTGGCCACCCTCAACCACTGGGACCATGGCGAAAAGCTCCGTCGTGTGTTCTTCTATTTGGAAGACACCACAAGGACCTGGCTCGAAAATAGGGAGTCCATGCTCCGAACGTGGGATGTTTTCTGCGGCGCATTCCTGCTAACGTTCACGAGCGTCGCTCGCAAGGAGAGGGCCGCTGGTTTATTTGAGACCCGGGTTCAGCTACCAAATGAAAATGTCGCTATTTTCACAGAAGAAATGACCCACCTATTCCGTCACGATGACCCAGACATGCCTGAGGAGAAAAAAGTTTGTTTCCTCATGCGAGGGGTTAAACAGGAGCTCATCGCGGGACTGATGAGAAATCCACCGAACACCATCCAAGAATTTGTAGCCGAAGCGACCACTATCGAAAAGACCCTGGACATGCGCATCCGACAGTATAATTCTCGCCTGACTCCAGAATGCAATGCTGCTCAAGCCAGTAACTCCGAAGACCTGCGTGAAACGATCCGAGCGATCGTGCGGAAAGAACTGCGCAAGCTGTTGCCTTCGGCGCAGCCTCAAGTGGATTCGATCGCCGACATTGTGCGAGAAGTTCAGCAATCGCTTCGAATTCCCCAAGCACCGCTGCCCGAGCTGGAAGCTATGAGCTATGCCGCTGCAGTGCGCCACAACGCTCCTCCCCGTCCACGCCGAAACGCTGCGCCATTGCACTTCCTTCAACAGACGCCACCGCCGCCACCACCCCCCACCGACGTCATACCGTTCGCCAGCCGCCCAGTGCAGTGCGCCGAGGAAGACTGACGTCTGGCACACCCCTGACCACCACCCGCTCTGCTACCACTGCGGCGAGGCCGGACACACATACCGCCGTTGCCAGTACCGATAGATGGGACTGCGTGGCTTCGCTGTCAATGCACCGCGTCCACAGCCAGGAGAACGGCCACGTGACATCGCCGACTACCTGACAGGAACTCAGTGGACACCACGAAGCCCTTCGCGTTCGCCGTCGCCCAGCCGCCGCACGTCACCGCACCACCGGCAGTACTTTGGCCCAACGCAGGACCGGTCTCTTAGCCCGTATCTAGGAAACTAAGGGCAGCAACCGATGGAGGTGCGGTTGCTGTGCGACGAACTACCGAAGATCCTCCGACGATGACGATGCCGCGACGGAGCTTTCCGAACACAACGCCAACCAGGCAAAGCCCTGACGGCGAAACCTCACTTACCGAAGGTGACCTGACGACGCAACATGGAAGCAGCGTAACAAGCCGACGCAGCCGTGACCCGACGCCACGCCCTAACTGTAATACGAGATGGCGAACTAGCGACCTCAACGTTCTTATGGACGGCCACAGTGTGAACGCTCTCGTCGATACTGGAGCCGACTACTCCGTCATCAGTGGGTTGTTCGCCGCGAAGTTAAAGAAAGTTAGGACAGCTTGGGAAGGCCATGAAATCCGCACAGCCAGAGGTCATCTCGTAACGCCTGCAGGAATCTGCACAGCGAGAGTTACCATTAACAGCCGTGTTTATCCTACAGACTTCGTAGTCCTACAGCGTTGCTCGAGAGATGTCATCCTTGGCATGGGCTTCTTATGCCTCCATGGTGCTGTCATAAACCAAAAAACAAAGTCGATAACGTTATCCACAGAAGAAGCACTACTGCCGCGTACGCCGTCAGGAAACCATGCCTTGAATGTGCTGGAAGAACAAGTCACCATTCCGCCTCGCTCAAGCGTCATTATTTCAGTTAGCGCTCCTAAATCACCTGACTTGGAAGGCGTCGTTGAAGGCAGTCAGCATCTGTTGGTCACCCGAAATATTTGCGTCGCAAGAGGAATCGCAGAGCTGCGGGGAGGCAAAGCAACGGTTATGCTCACGAATTTCAGCAATGAGTACAAACATGTGAACAAAGGAACAACGGTCACATACATTGAAGAAATTGTCGAAGCCACCAGTGCCTTCGCCCTCGCCGATTCTGCGGAACCTGCTCAGAGGAACCAAGCCCCTCCCATAGCTTTCGATGTCAATCCCA